TATTACTCAAAAAAAAAAAAAAAACGAAGAGAGAAAACCTGAACGGCACTGTGGAAGATGCCGCCGAGGCCGATTCTGTCCTTGAAGATCCTGTTGATTTGAAGGATGGTGTTGTTCGTCTTCTCCGATTCACTATTCGTGACATCGTATATGTGCAGAACAACATCCGTCATCATCTTCAAAAACCCTAACTCCTACTCTGAGAATCAAAAACTGGAGAATTTCAGGTTCGGAAATCACAGTGCGGAGTACTGGGATCTTGGCGCTCTTTTTCCTCGGAATGCTGAAATTCAGGATTGTTTCTATTTTGAAGGGTGGGGAGGGGAAGAGAGGGGAAGGGTAGAATTAAGATTTAATTTTCAAAATTTACGGTTATGAATAGAGGGGTATTGTTTTTAGACGGAAAGTTTTGAAATGGGCCCTTGGAGATGAGGAAAATTACGAAAAGGGTAGATGTGATATTTTTTTGAAATTTATTACTTTACAGCTGGCGGACACTGTACGAGGAAATGATTAGTGGCAAGTTGGATAAAAAGGGCCCCACTTACCACGCCACATAATCATTAACCGTGACACACCGCGGATGTCTTTGGAATTACGTTTATGCCCTCCGGTCCGGGGCATCAAATTTTTCTTGAAGTGGTTTAAGCGCGCCTTCTCGGACTTGAGATTGTATTTAATTAAAAGCAAACTTTCTTATGAAAAGGTTTTTTTTTTTTTTTTGCTGGTTTAGATCTTGATGTTCTAAACCCACAGGAGTGTCCTATTATATAAGAATTAGAGACTACAAGTTAGAGGTTTTAAATTTTTAGCTTCAAATCTTGAAATTGGTAGGGAGAAATTTGAGAAAATAAAAATTATCTTTTATTGTATAACTTATTATTTAATATATATTTTTTAAAAAAAGTTCTCTATGTTATAGTGTTATCTTTTTATTTGGTTTGAATTTTGGAAGTTCTGAAATGAATTAAACTGGTTGTCCCATTATGAGTTAATGGTAGGAACCGGCTTTGCGACTTTTATGCTTGCGTGACTTGATCTTGGGTCTTTACAATTCACCTTTTGGCCATTATGTTTCAAAGTGTTAAATAGTGAATGGACTTTGCTGAAGATTTGTGCTGTACCAGGGCATTCATAATTCTAATTTGGGTCTAATATTAGAATAAGACACAAATTTGGTCAAGAGGACTGACCGAAAAAGATAGGATATTGTCCGAAAATCAAGTACTTCAGTCAAGATATTTGACTGAATTATTAGACCTAAGGCTGGGCACTATACCATAAATGCCACAATTACCATTGTACCGTCCCATTACCAGCGGAAACGATATGGTAAATTATCATATGGTAAGTCTAAATGGTAATATGGCAATCCCATTTAGACCTGTGGTACGGTATTGGTATTGGAGGTCATTACCATTTTTACTATATGGTTACCAAATTTAGCACTCATTCAAAACTTTTTCCTCTTTTTTTTTTATTTTATTTTATAAAGTTTTCAATTGTTGCTAATTCTCTTTTTTTTTTTTTTGTGTGCATCTTTTGTATAATTATATATTTGTATGCTTCAAAATGATGAAGAACGGTATGGAGAAAATAAGTTTTAAAGATAATTTTGAGTTTTTAAGATTGAATTTTAAATGATTTAAATTAATTGATAATGAAGAAAATAAGTTTAAATATGGTAATATGGTATGGTATTGGTAAAAGCAAGTTTCATTACCATTAAAAACGGTTGGCAGCCATTACTGAAAAATCATCAATTGGTATGGAAATGATAACTCTTTTTCATTACCACTTAAAACAGTTACCATCATTTGAGTGCGGTACGGTTACCATACCATACCATACCATGCCCAGCCCTAATTGGACAGAATATGCTTTGTACGAAATAAAATTTCGAAGAGAATTTTGACTTGACCGAAATAAAAATATATTCTGTTAAGATGTTTGAACGAAAAAAAAGTTGAAAAAATCAATAAAAAACACTTATATTCGGTCAAAATATTTGATCGAAATAATTGAATATAATTTAATAACATATTTTGGTAATGTATATTGACCAAAATATTCATCGATTCTTGGTCTTTTGGTCATCATATTTCGGTCAAGATACATGACCAAATTAGTGGGTATGGGTATTTTGGTAATTTAGTCGAATCCTTTTGGCCAATGAAGATTGACCGAAATAATAATAGATTATGAGAAATAGTGAAAAACTTATTTCGATCAAGAAACTTGATTGAAAAAAATGTAGATTAACAAAAAACTTATTTAGCGAATTTTAATTTAATTGATAAATAATAAATAAAATTTGGTATTAAACAAATTAAATTTTGACATCATCACTATACATTCTTATTTATTTAATTTATTAGCTTTTTATAAATTTAATTTACAATTATGATTATATTTCTAGAAATATAAAAAAGTGAAAGAAGCCAAAAATCCTAGCATTTGCAATAAGAAACCAACATAAATACATAAAAGAAGTCAAATTCATATAGATAAGCACAAATAAATTAAAATATATAATTAAATGAAAATATGAAAATAAATGAACTAAATATATAAAAAAAAAATAAAAATTTGAGGGCAAATATTAAATAATGTAAAAAAATCACCTCTAAAATGTTGCCTCATCATGTTCACCAACTTAATGAACCTTGAAAATAATCAAAATTTAAATCATTAGTACATAATTAAAATAACAAAAACATAAGATTATATAAAATAAAGGTAATTTTACATAATTAAAAAATTGAAATTAAGAGAGATGATAGTATTAGTTTTGAAGAAAAATATATGAAGATTATGATTAAAATTTGCAAATAAAATTCTAAAGAAAAGAAATAAGAGTTTTGATGGACAATAAAAAAAAAAAAAGGATGAGGATATCAAGAAGTAATAATGAAAATTTTAAGAAAATTGTTAAAAGTAAAATAAATAAGAGGTAAAGAAAAATATTGAAGTTGGGGAAGAAAGGCATATTGGAAGAGAACCGAAGAGGAAAGAAATGAGAAATGAAAGTGAAGTTGCAAAAGTGAGGAAAAGAGTCTAGTGTGGGATATATATAGGCTGGGAGTTATTTCAATCAATATAACTGATCGAAATAAAATGACGAAAAATTCAAAAGAGAAGGGGCCGAATTAAAGTCAAAGGTTTTTTCAAACATTTTTCAACAAAAAATTCGAATGGCAGCGTGGGGGAGTAAGATTTATGAAATTATTTCGATCATAAATTCTGACTGAATAATATGTAGAGGGAAATTCAAAAATTTCCCCAAATTTTCTAACAAAGATAAAGAGAGTTTTTTTTTTTTTTTTTTTGGGAATCTTATTTTGGTTAAGCTACTTAACCGAAATAAGTGTTTGCCTATTTCGATTAAACTACTTGAACAAATTAAAGTCAAAGGTTATTTATTTATTTATTTATTTTTTCAAAATGAGATATCGATTTGCTTCTGCACGGTCAATGAAAGAAATTAAAGGAGATGAAATTAAAAGAATGTATGAAGAAAAGAGAATGTGAGAAAATGGAAGAGAGGATGAGGGGAATAAATGAAAGAAAAGGGAAAGTGAAGAAAAGAGAAGATGAGAAAAATGAAGAAATGAAAGAAAATGATGAAAGTAAAGACGAATGAGGAGGGGAAGTAATTAAAAGGAAGAGAAAGATGAGTGTCGAAGGCGGAAGAACAAAAAAGAAGAAAGAAAGAAAGAAATGGATAAAATACAATTTTAAGCGCGTAAAGTGTGTATATAGTGTTTAAATTATGATAATAATTTTGATCGAAAGAGTTTTGGTGGAATATTTAAAATGTTTTCACTTGATTTGTGGACTCAAAACATCTAATTTCGAATAAATGTTTTGATCGAAATAATTTTGA